GTGACCCCGAACTTGGCTTAACAACCCTCCCAAACGCTCTCCTGAGATTTCCCAGTTCATAATCGGAAACTCCATGAACTTCGCTGCCGAAAGTAGCAGCAGCCAACCCACCAGAACAACATATCTTCTTGGCATGCCTTCCCCAAGCAGCCCTGGGCCTGGTGATCCTTTTGAACCGAGTCTTCAGAACCTTTTGCCTTTGCTGATGTTTGGGGCCCTGTTTGGGAAGCCTGCGAGGACGACCGACAGTGTCGTCGATGCCGAGATTGACAGCAGTTGAGACTGAGCTACCACTCAGTCCTCCAAAGAACTTGCGCAACTCCTGACCGAGCTTCGGGGAGGAGGACATGAGGGCGGCCTTGTCCTCCGAGATCCTGCTGCGCAACTCGGTCTTAACAATGTCCGCTAGCATTGCCGCGGACTCCTTGATGCGCCCTGAAACATACCTTTCTGAACCTACAGCCGATAAACCATAGTCGTCAATGTAAACAGATAAGTAAAGCTGCTTAGGGAGAACCAACATGTCCAGGGCAGGGATCATGAGTCCCACACACCTCCCAAGAACGCAGTCCGCTTACGCCCGAGAGTGTCAGAGGCCAAACTCCTGCAGACAGCGTTCATGGCGTGCTTGCGCTGAAAGAACCACAATGGCTTGTGTTCTCAGCAGAAGGTGCCGGGGATGCAGCGGCCAGCACTGTACATGAGGGGAGGAGGAGGAGGAGGAGGGGGAGGAGGAGGGAGGAGGAGGGAGGGGATGGAGAGGAGGGAACAGGAGGGAGGATGAGGGAGGAGAGGGAGGAGGACTGGAGGAAGGAGGGGGATGAGGGAGGAGGAGGGAGGAGGAGGGAGGAGAGGGGGGAGGAGGGGGGAGGAGGGGGGGGAAGGGATGAGGAGGGAGGATGAGGATGAGGGAGGATGGATGAGGAGGGATGATGAGGGCGGCGGGGGAGGCGGAGGGAGCGAGGAGGAGGAGGAGGGAGGAGGGGGAGGGAGGAGTGGGGGGGGAAAGGGGGGGGGGGGGAGGAGGGGGAGGGGGAGGAGGAGGAGGGGAGGAGGGGAGGAGGAGGAGGAGCGGAGGAGAGGAGGAGGAGGAGGAGGAGGAGGAGGAGGGGAGGAGAGGAGGAGAGGAGAGAGGAGGAGGAGGCAGGAGGAAGGATGAGGAGGAGGAGGAGGAGGAGGAGGCGGAGGCGGGGCGGAGGCGGAGGCGAGGCGGAGGCGGAGCGGAGCCGGAGGAGGCGGGGCGAGGAGGCGGAGGAGGCGGAGGAGGCGGAGGAGGAGGAGGAGGAGGAGGAGGAGGCGGCGGAGGATGAGAGAGGAGGAGGAGGAGGAGGAGGGGAGAGGAGGAGGAGGATGAGGCGGGGGAGGAGGGAAGGGGGAGGGGGAGGGAGGGGGAGGGGCTGGGGAGGGGGAGGGGGAGGGAGGGGGAGGGGGAGGGGAGAGGGGGACAAGCTAGGTGCGCTCGCGTCATATCTGACATCCTACCCCTCCCTCCCATCCTTACCATGGCGCAGATCCCCTCTCTACTCGCACAGTCGATGTCGAGCAGGGCAATGATCCCGAAAGGGTACGCGATGCATTGTAGAGCACGGCGTGGCATGGCGTAGAAGAGCACCGCAAAGCGTAGTATCAACCTAGCATTGCATTGCACGCTGTGGCACGGCACGGGAAATGACGCCAGCGCTGCAGCGGGAGCACGAGTCGAAACGAGCGGAAGCGCGCAAATGAGGCCAGCGCTGCAGCGGGAGCACGTTTCGGAATTAGCGGAAGCACGGAAATGAGGCCAGCGCTGCAGCGGGAACACGATGCGGAACGAGCGGGGCCCGAAAATGAGGCCGGCGCCGCAGCGAGAGCAGCATTTTGAAATTATCTTGGCGACGGACCCAACCATATGCAGTTACGAGTACCGCAAAGCAGGTTGAGCGAATGCGAGGGAACTCCCTAAGGGGCCACGAAACGTGTGAGAGGTGTGCCGAAATGGGTGCGGTGCCGCCATGCGAACGCAGCCACTGGGGCCCTCGGTGGAGCTCCTAATGTGGCCACGAAACGTGTGAGGGGTGTGCCGAAATTGGTGCGGTGCCGCCATGCGAACGCAGCCACTGGGGCCCTCGGTGGAGCTCCTTATGGGGCCGCGAAGCGTGTGAGGGGTGTCCCGAAATTGGCTCGGTGCCGCCATGCGAACGCAGCCACTGGGGCCCTCGGTGGAGCTCCCTATGGGGCCACGAAGCGTGTGAGGGGTGTGCCGAAATGGGCGCGGTGCCGCCATGCGACACAGCCACTGGCACCCTCGGTGGAGCTCCTTATGGGGCCACGAAACGTGTGAGGGGTGTACCGAAATGGGTGCGGTGCCGCCATGCGAACGCAGCCATTGGAGCCCTCGGTGGAGCTCCCTATGAGGCCACGAAGCGTGTGAGGGGTGTCCCGAAATGGGTGCGGTGCCGCAATGCGAACGCAGCCACTGGGGCCCTCGGTGGAGCTCCCTATTTGCCGAAATGGGTGTGGTGCCGCCATGCGAACGCAGCCACGGGGGCCGTCGGTGGAGCTCCTTATGGGGCCACGAAACGTGTGAGGGGTGTGCCGAAATTGGCGCGGTGCCGTCATACGAACGCAGCCACTAGAGCCCTCGGTGGAGCTCCTTATGGGGCCACGAAGCGTGTGAGGGGTGTGCCGAAATGGGTGCGGTGCCGCCATGCGAAACGCAGCCCTTGGGGGCTTCGGTGGAGCCCCTATGGGGCCACGAAACCGGGTGAGGGATGTGCCGGAAATGGTGCGCGGGGCCCGCCATGCTAACGCAGCCCACTGGGGCCTCGTGGATCTTCCTAATGGGGCCACGAAGCGTGTGAGGGGTGTGCCGAAATGGGCGCGGTGCCGCCATGCGAACGCAAGCCACTGAGGCCCTCGGTGAGCTCCTTATGGTGCCACGAAACTTGTGGAGGGTGTGCCAAATGGGTGGGTTCCGCCCTGCGAGCGCAGCCACCTGCGACCTGGGACCCGTCGGTGGGCTCCCTATGGGGCCACGAAACGTGTGGGGGATGTGTCGGGAAAATGTGCGCGGTTGCCGCCGATGGAACGCAGCCCCATTTGGGCCTTCGGTGGAGCCTCCTATGTGGCCACGCCAACGGTGAGGGGTGTGCCGAAATGGGTGCGGTGCCGCCATGCGAACGCAGCCACTGGGGCCTTCGGTGGAGCTCCTTATGGGGCCACGAAGCGTGTGAGGGGTGTGCCGAAATTGGCGCGGTGCCGCCATGCGAACGCAGCCACTGGGGCCCTCGGTGGAGCTCCCTATGGGGCCACGAAACGTGTGAGGGGTGTGCCGAAATGGGCGCGGTGCCGCCATGCGAACGCAGCCACTGGAGCCCTCGGCGGAGCTCCTTATGGGGCCACGAAACGTGTGAGGGGTGTGCCGACATGGGCGCGGTGCCGCCATGCGAACGCAGCCACGGGGGCCCTCGGTGGAGCTCCCTATGGGGCCACGAAGCGTGTGAGGGGTGTGCCGACATGGGCGCGGTGCTGCCATGCGAACGCAGCCACTGGGGCCCTCGGTGGAGCTCCCTATGGGGCCACGAAGCGTGTGAGGGGTGTGCCGAAATGGGTGCCGTGCCGCCATGCGAACGCAACCGCTGGGGCCCTCGGTGGAGCTCCCTGTGGGGCCACGAAGCGTGTGAGGGGTGTACCGAAATGGGCGCGGTGCCGCCATGCGAACGCAGCCACTGGAGCCTTCGGTCGAGCTCCCTATGGGGCCACGAAGCGTGTGAGGGGTGCCGAAATGGGTGCGGTGCCGCCATGCGAACGCAGCCATTGGGGCCTTCGGCTGAGCTCCCTATGGGGCCACGAAACGTGTGAGGGTGTGCCGAAGTGGGTGCGGTGCCGCCATGCGAACGCAGCCACTGGGGCCTTCGGTGGAGCTCCATATGGGGCCACGAAGCGTGTGAGGGGTGTGCCGAAATGGGTGCCGTGCCGCCATGCGAACGCAACCACTGGGGCCCTCGGTGGAACTCCCTATGGGGCCACGAAGCGTGTGAAGGGTGTGCCGTGGTAGTGGGAGGAGGGAGGAGGGAGGGGGAAGGCAGGAAGGAAGGAGTGAACGCGGGGCGGTGTCTCTTCAAAACGAGGACGCAACACCACAGGATGGTTGGGAAAAAAATGCAGGCGAAAACCCAACTCCGGGGAAACCTGTGTAAAAAAGCAGTGCGCGGGGGGGGTCGGACATTTTCAAACCGTCATCAGGGGAAGAGGGAGAGTAGTATTCATATTGAGTAATTGTGGAAGGGAGGGAGGGAGGAGGGAGGGAGGAGGGAGGGAAGGTAGGGAGGGAGGGAGGAGGGAGGGAAAAGGAGGAGGAGGAGGGAGAGGAGGAGAGGAGGAGGAGGAGTAGGGGAGGAAGAGGAGGAAGAGGAGGAGGAGGAGGAGGAGGAGGAGGAGAGGAAGGAGGAGGATGATGAGGGAGGAGGAGGAGGAGGAGGATGAGGGAGGAGGAGGAGAGGAGGAGGAGGAGGAGGAAGGAGAGGAGGAGGGGGTGAGGAGGAGGAGGAGGAGAAGAGGAGGAGGAGGAGAGAGGAGGAGGAGGAGGAGGCGGAGGAGGCGGAGGAGGAGGCGAGAGGAGGAGGAGGAGGAGGAGGAGGAGGAGGAGGAGGCTGGGAGGAGGCGGAGGAGGAGGAGGAGGAGGAGGAGGAGGAGGAGGAGGAGAGAGGGAGGGTAGGAGAAAAAAAGGAAGAGAGGAGGCGGAGGAGGAGCAGGATGATGATGATGATGATGATGATGATGATGATGATGATGATGATGAGGAGGAGGAGGAGGAGGAGGAGGAGGAGGAGGAGGAGGAGGAGGAGGAGGAGGAGGAGGAGGGGGAGGAGGAGGAGGAGGAGGAGGAGCAGTGGCGATGAGGAGGAAGAGGAGCGAGGAGGGGGAGCGAGGAGCGAGAGCGAGGCGGGAGGAACGAGGAGGCGACTGAGGGCCACCCCACGCGCCGCTCCGTGCCTCTTCTCTGGGGCCCCGCCGGCGAGAAACGCCCTCCAGGCGGACGCGTATCCGGCCGGCCACCCGCCCGCTGATCCTCCAGGCCGGCGCGCGTGTTTTTGTCTGCCTTGGTCGCAGGCCCAGAGGTTGACACCAACACCAGTATCGGCGGTGTGCCTCCACCGAGGGAAGAAGACCTGGCCTCGGTGATGGTGGTAATATTCTGGCTTCCAAGGTGGCCGAAATATTACCACCAGCACCAGAATCTACGATCATCTTCCTCCTGTGGAGGCAGCCCCCCTGTGTTGGTGTTGGTGCCCCTGTCCAGGCCTCCAACGCTTGGCGCCCGGCCCGGCCAGGCCGAGAGGGCAGCGGCCCGTGTCGGCGCGGCCACCGCGCCCTCGATGCGGCCTCGTCGGCGCGCCCAGGCGGGGGAGAGCAGGGGGGGCGGGTCGCTTCTCCGGAAGTCTCGGGAGGCCCCTGGTCTTCTGGGAGAGACCCTCTTCGCTCTCCTGCCCGATCCCAGGCCGCGGGAGAGACCCTCAGAAGGGCGGAGGGCTTGTGAGACTCCCCCCGCGCTTTCAGTGAAGGGCTGCCCCCTCTGTCCTCCTCCTCCTCCTCCTCCTCCTCCTCGTCCTTCTCCTCCTCCTCCTCCTCCTTCTCCTCCTCCCTCGGCGCACCGCCGGTTCCCCACCCAGACCTCCAGCGCATGAAACAACTCGATGCGGAGTTGTTTCTGCGTCTTCGGCCTCTGGGGTGGGGGTCTTCGTCGTTCCCCCTGGCCGTCAGAGAAAAACGTGCTCGGGATGAAGAGCGTGCCCCGCTGGGAACAACAACTCGGGGCTTCCAGGGGTCCCGCAGTGGAGCTCTCAAGACGTCGGAGGTCTTGGCAGACGGTGTGGGGGGGGAAGAGGGGTGAGGAGGACGAGGGGGGAGGGAGATATAGAGAGAGAGGGAGGGGAGGGAGGGAAGGAGGGAGGAGGGAGGGAGGGAGGAGGGAGGAGGGAGGGAGGGAGGGAGGAGGAGGGAGGGAGGCGGAAGGAGGAGGAGGCGAGGAGGAGTAGGAGGCGGAGAGGAGGAGGAGGAGGCGGAGGAGGAGGGAGGAGTAGGAGAAGCGAAGAAGAAAAAGAAGGACGATAAAACAAAAAAGCAAAAAAAAAAAAAAAAAAAAAAATAAAACAAAAAAAAAACAAATAAAAAAAAAAAAAAAAAGGGAAAAACAAAAAGCCATAAAAAAAAAAAAAAAAAAAAAAGAAAAAAAAAAAAAAAAAAAAAAAAAAAAAAAAAGGGAGGACAAGGGGGAGGAGGAGGAAGAGGAAGAGTAAGCCCAGGATGCATCAGCGACGCTGCAGTGCACCCTCCCGTTTCAAGGACCCCTCTGACTCGTTCGCGCGAGCTAACGATCGTTCTCTCGCTGCAAGAAGTGCCCTCCCTTGCATCACCAGCGCCCACACGGGCCTGCCACGTCTTGGCGATCGGTACCGTTTTGAAACGAGCTGCCCTGCGGCCTTCTGGCGCGTGAAAGATATAACGCGAAACATGTCTCCGTACGGTTCGACAAGGTGTCCAGTGAGAGCCCCTTTTCTCGACCCCCCCCCAGCCGTGCGACTATTTCAGATTGCACCGCGCGTTTTGAAAAGAGCTGCCTTGCATCCTTCTGGCGCGCACGAGAGATCTAACGCGAAACCTGCCCCCGTTCGGTTCGACAAGTTGTCAAGTGGGATCCTTAAGTCGGGCCTGTCCTTCTACAGAGGCAATATTCGAAAATAGTCGAACAATAGTCTGGGGTTTGTGCATTTTTTGAGCATATTTGGATGTTTCCTTTTTTTGGTTGAAAATCCGCCTGTAGGGGGACAAACCCGGCCTAACGAGATCCCCCTCGCGCCGAAGTTTTTCGGGCCTCCTTCGAGCGTGCAACTGGAGGGCGTGCAGCTCGGAGCCTGCTCGGGTGCCATCTGTCTGCGCGAAAATTAAGCCTTTCCAGTAAATAAAGCTCAACAACAACAACGGCTCTGTCCCCGTACGGTTCAACAAGTTGTCCAGTGAGATCCCCTTGTCTCGGAAAGAAAGGACCCCCCCAGCCGTGCGACTGTTTCAGATGACATGCAGCTAGAGGGCGCGCAGTGTGGAGTCTGCTCGGGTGCCATCTGTCTGCGCGAAGAGAAGTCTTTCGCAGTGAAGGAAGCTCGAGCCGAGAGTCCCACTTTCAAGCAGAGCCGCCATCACTCCGTCCAGCTCGAGCGTGCAGCTAGAGGGCGTGCAGTGTGGAGTCTGCTCGGGTGCCATCTGTCTGCGCGAAGAGAAACCTTTCGCAGTAAGGAAGCTCGAGCCGAGAGTCCCACTTTGAAGAAGAGCCGCCCTCACTCCGTCCAGCTCGAGCGTGCAGTTAGAGGGCGTGCAGTGTGGAGTCTGCTCGGGTGCCATCTGTCTGCGCGAAGAGAAATCTTTCGCAGTAAGGAAGCTCGAGCCGAGAGTCCCACTTTGAAGAAGAGCCGCCCTCACTCCGTCCAGCTCGAGCGTGCAGTTAGAGGGCGTGCAGTGTGGAGTCTGCTCGGGTGCCACCTGTCTGCGCGAGGATAAAGCCTTTCCAGTAGAGGAAGCTCGAGCCGAGAGTCCCACTTTCAAGCAGAGCCGCCATCACTCCGTCCAGCTCGAGAACGCAGCTAGAGGGCGTGCAGCGTGGAGTCTGCTCGGGTGCCGTCTGTCTGCGCGAAGAGAAGCCTTTCGCAGTGGAGGAAGCTCGAACCGAGAGTCCCGCTTTGAAGAAGAGCCGCCCTCACTCCGTCCAGCTGCTGCTGCAAGCTTTCGTGACGAGTGTGGAGTCTGCTCGGGTGCCATCTGTTTGCGCGAAGAGAAGTCTTTCGCAGTGAAGGAAGCTTGAACCGAGAATCCCGCTTTGAAGAAGAGCCGCGTAAACGAGTGTGCGTGGCGCTAAAACGAGAGCCGTATTTTGAAAAGGAACCGCCTTCAAACTGTAGTGCTGCTGCAAATTTTCAAAACGAATGCGCGCGGCGCTAAGGCGAGAGTTCCGTTTTTGAATGCTAACACCTTCTATCTTCATAGCTGCTGCAAGCTTTTGAGCCGACTGTGCGCGGCGCCAAGGTGAGAACCCCATGTTGAAAACGTCACGCCGCCCTCCATACGCGAAACTGCTGCGCATGCCAAGCTTCAAGAGCACTCATGGTGAGGAAGTCTGAGGCAAAGCGCCCAGCCCGCCCTTTCGACACGTTTGGGGTGCGGCAGGGAGGAGTTGATCATGAGGAGGAGGGATGGATGCGGGGGAGAGACAGAGGAAGAGGAGGAGGAGGAGGAGGAGGAGGAGGAGGAGGAGGAGGAGGATGAGGAGGAGGAGGAGGAGGAGAGGAGGAGGAGGCGGAGGCGGAGGCGGAGAGGAGGAGGAGGAGGAGGAGGAGGAGGAGGCAGAGGAGGAGGAGTGAGGAGGGAGGATGAGGATGAGGAGGAGCTGAAGGAGTGGAGGAAGGGAGGGGGATGGGGAGAAGGGGATGGGGAGAAGAGGAGCGGAGGAGGAGGAGGAGGAGGATGAGGAGGAGGAGGAGGAGGAGAGGAGAGGAGGAGGAGGAGGAGGGGGTAATCCAGAAGCCGCATTAAAGTGATCATTTCCCCCCTCTGTGACAGAGGGGGTGTTTTTCGGACCCCCTCTGTGACAGAGGGGGTACGTTCGGAGGCCCTCTGTGACAGAGGGGGTGCGTTCGGAGGCTCTCTGCGACAGAGTTGCTCGTCATCCCGTTCCTCCTCATCCTGCTTCTTGATTTCGGATATGTCATGCTACCACTGCGCTCATCATCTTTGCGTCTGTGATCCTCGTCGTGTTGTTCCATGCGTCCTTTTCACAATTTCCACCACAGTATCCTCCGTTGCCGTTCTGGCCCGCCATCTACCTCGTCACTCTCCTTCGTCTGCATGTCCTTATTCTTTTCCGCTCTTTTTTCGCCTCCCCTCTGGTTCGATTTCCGCTCTTCGTCCACTTCGTTCATTCGTTTCCAAACCCCCTTCCTTTCAAGTTCTCCGCCGTCCAATCACGTCGCGTCGTCCGCCGCCGCTATGCTCAAACCACCCCGCGCCCGTGGGATCGCCCGCGAGCACCGGTGCAGCTGGGCCCGTCGCGGCCTAACGCGCGCCTGCGCCATCGTCTTGCAATGGGCGATGCAGGCGGATACACATGGGGTGGCGCGGGAGGCTGGTGGGATAGCCGCAGCAGCGGCTGGCGTGGCTGGGAGGACGGCCATGATTGGTCAGCGAGGGGTTGGAGAGACTGGCGACAAGACGGGCACACGCCAACGGTGGACGCCAAATGGCGCGATGGCCCTGCCGCCGCAGCAGCGGCGGCGGTCTCGTCTCAACGGCCGTCTCGCTTCGCCGCGCTTAGCGTTGTGAGCCCCCGCGCCCCTGGTCTCGGCAAGCCCGAATTCGATAATTTCGTGAGGGCTGCCCTCCGAAACGTACCAGAACTGGGGAACACAGTTTCAGGAGAGGGGTCGGGATCCCGAGCCGCGCCTGCGGCGCAGGAGCCCCGCGCCACCGCAGCGGCGGCGGCGCGCGGGCCCCAGGATTTCGAGAAGTTTGATGTTAATTATTTTTTGAGTTATGAAAAGAGGCTCGGCACTTCGTTTAAGCAACACAATCAAGCGTTGAAATGGCGGCGCCATCTGAATGAAGACCCAACTGCCCCGTTCGAGTCAGAAGCCAAGTGGTTTGACAATGCGAAGCCCACCATGGTCGCTGTTTGCGACCACGGTGCGAGGACGAGTTTTGGTTTTAAAAGCGACGAGGAAGTCCCTTGGCGGTGGCAAGAGATGGTGGCGACGCTCAGGGAGGAAGATATCAGGGAGGTCGTGGAGGGGCCCCGCAGCAGCGGGGCTCTGATCGGCTGTTCCCTCGAAGTCCGGCCAAACAGCTACGACCACATGCGTCAGAGTATTGTGCGCGCGCGACAGTTCGCGGGGCAGCGGGTGAAAGTGAAGCTGCCGATGTGGGATTTCGTGTTGCACCGCGACGACGGGACAGGCGTCCGTTTACACCCGCACTGGGGCGACAGGAAGGTCGAAGCTCTGCCCCTCGTCCCCCACGCGGACACGGTGAGGC